GCCCGACTGCCCATTGTGCGACTGTCAGGATGAAACAGTATCACACCACCTCTTTTCCTGCCCTGCACTTAGTGACCTGCGTAGTACCTACCTACCTGTCTCCCCAAATATCGGAAATACTCAATACAGAGCTCTACAAAACACAGCTGACAAAAACATTAAAGTTCTTTGCTATATCGGCAGTCCGAAGGGTTAGAACTCAAGGCTACTGGCTTGAAAAAGTAAAGTAAATATGTACAAGTCATTGTGCACAAGCTGAAAACTTTATGTTCTATAGCTTAGGAAATATTCGACAATAAGTTGCGCCATGAATTTTTGACCGCACTATAGTTTCAGCTTTGCTTCTTCAATTTTGATTTAGAATGCAATTAGGGCCTATCCTATGCTACGTGCAAACAAAAGACCCCCCCCCCAAACAAAAGAAAAGAACAGAAATTAAATATGTTTGATCTTAAGGATTTGATCTACCAGAAATGTATCAAACCACATCGAATGAAATTGTCGGAACTTTCACTACATTAAACCGATTTGTCTGAACTAAGGTAACGTCATATTCCTGAAGAGCTGTGTCCTGTGGAAAGGGTTATAAATAGAATGTTTCAGTGGCAATGTAGCAGTGGCGCCCAGGTTCTATGCGCTTTACACTATATTATTATTATCCCAGCAGACCATAGAACACACAGAAACATTCTCAGCCTCCCGGGAAGCGTGCAGTGCAAGCAGCTGGTTAAGCGCCCAAACACTAACAAACTGACAAGATATTTCATTGTCTATAGCTGGGTACCCACTCCTACCTGGGTGAAGTGGGGAAGATTCGTGTAATATGTCTTTCCCAAGGACACAACATCGGGTCCGCGGCTCCGGAGCACCGGGGAACAGCGACTCTATTTTTTTAAAACAGGTAAAAAATTTGTCCGGGGAACAGCGACTGCCCTAAGCGAATACCTCCTCGTGATGGTTTTGATGATGGTATCGATACAACCGCGGCCCGCCAAAAAGATTTTTCCATAAAAATTCCAAACTATGTCTAATCGTAAAAACAATATCAAATTCGGAACCAGCGTGTCCAAATTAACAAATCAACTTGCAGGTGACTGTTTTTCTTGCTGGATTTAGAAGATCACAAAAAGAAGTATGTTATACAGATTCTACCAAGATTGCATCTTGGTGGCGTCGGTGGCCTTGTGGTTAGGCTCTCGGACTCGCAACCGCAAGGTCGTGGGTTCGAATCCCGTCAGGGGCCCGACGTGTGTCCTGGGGAAAGGCACTTTGCACAAATTTTCCTCACTTCACCCAGGAGGAAATTGGTACCCGGCTATAGACAGTGAACGATCTTGTCAGTTTGATAGTGTTTGAGCGCGTGAAATCCGCAGCTCGCACTGTATGCTTCCGCGGAAGCCGAGAATGTTTCAGAGTGTTCTCAGATGGTCTGCTGGGGTATTAATAGTTGTAAAGCGCTTCGAGCATGCTCTTGAGCATGGATATTATATGCGCTATATAAATGCAATTATTAGTAGTAGTAGTATTTTCCTATCGTAAAGAGGACAGACAACAGTCGTTTTAACTGATCTTATAATAGACCCCCCCCCCTCCCCCTTAGTGTGAAGTGACCAGTGGGAGGCTGTGACGTAAATTCTTTTCAAGTTTGCCGCCGGGCGGGATTAAACTTTGCGCGCAGAATTTTCAAAATAATTATCTCAGCTAAAAACTGATTTCATTTTCGAAATCGGCGTATCAAAATAAGCTAAGTGGCTCACGTGGAACCTGATTTGATGCCATATTTTAAAACTTGAGCAAACTGTGCTTTTCAATGGTCTATTTTCAATCTAAAGTTATGCATCAAGGTCACCCAGAGCGTTGTATGTGCATCTGACGCCAAAGCTGCTAGGGCTACACACTGTACACTGTACACTTATATCTACTATCTATTACTGCACAGTCACTGTACATTTTAGCTTTATTTAGCTTTAAACTGACATGCTGCATGAGGGGTAGTGAAAGGCTTTATTTTTGTTAAATCGTTTTGTTTGTTTTTCATGTCTCTGGACCATGCGTCAATACAGCCAAAATAATGTTTATTGTTATTATATATTTTTAATTTTGTTTTCAATTAAATGATCTTCAATTTCCATTTAGTTTTTAATTTCACAAAAGTGATCCACACATTTTAAAGTCTTTTTGAGGACGTAGTCAAGGCAGTCTACAGTTTTGGATAACATGCTGTCAGACTTGAATTTACTAATTTCTGCAAGGGGTTCTCCATAAAGAGTGATGGGCGTGGTTTCTGATGACAGTGATAGTCGTAGTACTTCTGTTTTAGATACATATAAGGCCAATTTTTTCCGCATTTTTTTGCTACTTCGTTTTTTGTTGTTTTTTTCAAATTGCATTTCATGAGTGTTTAATGGGCATGCAGATGTCATCTGGAAAATCTAAATCTCCTATATATGTGCCATTTGTCCATCCAATGCCAGTTTCAATGTATTTGCTCTGTCTCATTACAAAGTCGATCACAATTCCTAATAGTGCAGGTGATAAATGTCTAACACCAGTATTTATTTCAAAAGATGTAGAATTTCTCCTTACTTCAACTAGGACACATTGCAGCAGCAGCAGCTTGCTTTGATATAATAATCGTATATAGTTTCTTATTTTATACTAATGTGTAGGCCTACATCCTTTATAATAATATTATTGTGGTGCACGGGCGCGCGCGCGCATGTGTGTGTGTGTGT